GGCTATCAGAAAATACCACCTCCTCCATCTCCTGAACCTCAGTATAAAGCAGCCAATGAAGAGAAGAGCTAAGTCATTGCCATCAGGTTGATTCTGATTCACAGAGACCAGGGTGACCCTCCAGGACAGAGGAGGTTAAACTCTGGGCTGCTGACCGAAAGCTTTGTGGGAGAAAGGGCCATCAGTCTGCTTCCATACAGATTTACAGTCTTGGAAAGTGTCTGGGGCAGTCCTCCTCTATCTTACAGGTCTGCGATGAGTCAGAGCCAACTCGACAGGTTTCCAATGCTGTGAATCTTCACGGAAGCAGTCGGACACGTCTTGCCCCTGGATGGGCTCCAAGTGCTCACCCTTTTATAGCCAAACGCCTTAAGCACTGACCAACAAGATTCCTTCGCTTCAATCTAGCCGTATAATCTTCATATCCCAAACGAAGCAAGTGAGCTCGGAAATACGAAGTGATTTATTCAAAACCTAATGGAAGCAGAATTAGGATTCAAATCCAGTGAGCTCATCGCCACAGCACTCAGTGCAAGAGCGACAGATCTCTGCATTGCCAGCATGTTTCAGGATAAGTCAATCACTTGTCAAGTGCTTGTTGTCTGCAGAATCTATGGGGCTTTTTTCATACCTTGTTACACGTCGAACAGGCCCACAAGAGCAAAGCAGACAAACACCCAAATGCTTTATGTCCCTGGACCCACCGGCTGCTCTCAAGGCAATACCAGCCCATCTCAACCCCTCAGGCCAGAGCAGAACTGCCCACAGGGCTTTAGAGGCTGTATCTGTGTATGGAACCTGCCTCGCTGTCCTCCTGGAGAGCTGCTGCCTGGTTTGAACTAGTAACCTTTCAGTCTGTAGCTCGAGGCTTAACTCATCAAGCCACCAAGCCTTCTGTATCTCCAGAGGCCTTAGGACAAATGAAAGAGAGTCCAGTTAATTTTTGACTGTGGTTCCAAAGATGCGGATTGGGAAGCGCTGTCAGGCAGTAGACTAGCATCACGCCTTCAAATACTGCAAACACGAGGGCATTGGTTCGACCGAATCATGACTACTGGACAAATAAAAAATGAACATGTATGAAATATTTTAACTCATTATTAAAGGAACCAGTATAACATAAGCGCTAGTTCAAATGGGAATCCAAACAGCAAATGCATATATGCGAGTCATAGTGATGCTGTTGTTGAAGCATTTGGCTAGAAATGAAAAAGTTGTCAGTTCAAACCTACCAGTTGCTCTGAGGGAAAAGGATGAAAACGGTCTGATTGGTTAAAGATTACAGCTTCAGAAACTCTGTGGGGTAATTCTGCTCTGTTCTCAGGGGTGACCATGCACTAGAAGTGACTCAGTGGCAATAGGTATGACTTTTGGTTTACAAAGGCCACAGAAAAATAATAATGAATTCACTTAAGAGAAACTTAAGTCCTGAGTGATGCAGATGGTTTGTGCTCAACAAGTAACCGGAAGGTCAAATTCACCCAGAGGTGTCCCAGAGGAAAGTCCTGGCAATGGACTTCCATTAAGATAACAGTCAAGGTATCTGGCAGACAGTGGATGAGACTGATGGCAACCCGGACCCTCTACATGCAGGAAACAAAAATGACAGATGCAGATGATAATCCTGAAACCCTGAGTTTCAAAGGAAGTGAGGAGGAAGGTGTTCAAACACCGAATGGAAGGAGACACTGAATGAAAGCAGCCAATAGCAGGAGAGATGGAGCAGGGAGTGGTGACAGACCCGACACAATGCAGCCATTTTTGCACATCTGCAAGCAGCTACCAGGACAGCAGTGGTGCCCACACCTGCAGCTTGCTGAGGACAAGAATGGCGTGGTCTCCTCCTTGTTCTCCAAAAACCTCCCGGATTTCAGGGAAGTCAACCGCCCCCTGAAGTGGCCCTCCGCTTGGCCAGCAGCTCCATCTCATGCCCTGCCCAGGCTCTGTCTGAGGCCAAGCTTGCACCGCTCTGTCTTCCAGCCTAGACTGGCAGGCACTATTTCTGATCAGAACCTTACAGACTAGCACAAAGTTCCTGTGAGAGTGCCTCTGTGGATCCGGTGTCTGGAGCTGCCCACGCCGACGTCTGGAGCTGTGCTATCTCTGTGTCCGCTCTGCCTCTCGGGACTAGGAGAGTGGGTTCTCCCTGGCCATCTCTGGGTTGGCAGTGACCACCCCTGGCAGAATGTCCCTGTAAATTTCGTGTCAAGTGCATGTGGTCTCCACATAGGGAGGTACATGCACTCCTCCTACCAGGGCAGTGAGCCATCTGAACTGCTGCCCATCCACCATCTGGTCTGGCAGAGGCTTTGAGGAGCTGGCACCAGGTGCACGCCACCCCGAAACTGGAAACACACATGCTCTCCACCCTCTAACACCAGTAAGGTGAGTCCTGTTAGACCGAGTGCCCTGCCTGGTGCCACCCTCCTACCTGGTAAGACACACCGTATTAATAGGTCAGGAGCAAGTTCTGCCCCTAGTATGTGACCTATCCCGGGATGCCATGTAGGCTGGCACAAGTTTAGTTCTTCACCTTGCCCCAGTCTCTCCCCTGGGACACTGACGTGTCTTGGCCCCCAGCTCCCTTACGGATGAACAGAAAGCCTGCTCTGACTGAGCCCCACAATCCCAACCTCTTCCAGGATCAGCAAAAAAGACCATCCAAGACCAGAGACCTCGACCTCACCCATCACAGCAGTGGCAAGAGTAACTCTCAGGCCCCCAGCCCACTACTTCCACAAGGTCCTTTCTTTTTCTCTCTTGTTTTGTATTTTCTTTTTTTTTCTTTCTCATCCTTCTTTTCTGGTTTTTATTTCATTTATTTTCTCTCGTCTTCCCCTCTCCCCTTTTCCAATCCCTTCGTCTATTTTACTTATTCTTATTTTTCCTTTCTTATTCTTTTTCTCCTCCCTTTAGTATCCTTTTCCAAATTTGCTTTTATTGCCCACTCTTGTTTTGGGGGTGTGTGTGTGTGTGTGTTATTATTTATTTCCTGTCCCTCTTGGCAATAGACAGCAATTGTGTCCACATAACCCAGCTACACAGACACCTTAAGTTGAAAAGGTGCTGGCAGAACTGGATATCTATTTGTAGAATACTGAAACAAGATTCAGATTTCACATCACATACAAAAATAACTCAAAGAATAAGACAGAAAAGTGTAAAACCTAAAGCTATAAAAATAATCAAAGAAAAATGGCACATTTAGGGGGTAGTACTGGATGATTAGGGTAATAGAGGCAGATGTTGCAGAGACAGAGTAGGACAGGGTCCAGAGCTACTGTACACAGGGTCACTATGAGTCACAGGTCACGTGGCAGCACATAACAAAAAATAACACTGGGCTTATATTTGTGCTGCCAACCCAAAGGCACATAGTTAAAGTATACCTGCTCCTCCATGGATTAAAGGTGGGCAATCTCCTCCTGCACAATTTATAATCACTGAAAACCTTCTGAAGGGTCAGCTATGAAGACTGACCCTTTGCATTTCAACACTCTGGAGAGGTCCCTGACAGCAAACTTTCCTAATCCAACTTGTCTTTTGACTTCCTGGCTGCTGGTTCCTTAGCCTATCTCAAAAATCTCCCCCTTCATCCCAAATAAGGAAAACAATTTTCTACGAGGCAATAGAAGTTCCCTCTCATAACTCGAGAGTGCTGTGATGCTGAACACGGACACGGATGTGTCAAATGCGATAATGGTCACCCATAGTGGACAGTGTTTGGTGGAGCTCCTCAATCAAAACAAGCTGGGAAGCAGGAGTGGCATCCACTTCCAAATCAGTTTACCTCCATAAACTCTATGAACTTGGAGAAATGATGTAAGTTATATAAATGCTAGGTCTTTTGTTCATAGGTTTGCTATGAGTCGTCTATGACTCCACGGCACCTAACAACAACAACAACTACTCATAACATATTTGTTCCTAAGTGCCCATGTTTATAACAGCCTTCTACTTCATGCTGTTGTCATGTGCCTTTGGGTTAGAGCCCACCCACAGGCGACCCTCTCGTGGGTTTTCACAGGTTATAATTTGTATGGGAGGAGCATGTCTGTCTTCCTCCGAGAAGCTGCCGGCTCTGAGCAGCGTGGCTTTGGGTTGGCAGAGCAGCTGTTAAATTTGAAGCCCCTGCCTGTGAGTTGGCTGTGGCCACCAGATTCATAGAAAGTCTATGTAAGACCTTTATCATTTGTAACACACTTGAGGTCACTGCTGCAGTCACCGTGTCAATCTGTCTTCTTGAGCGCTGGTCCTTCTTTTACTGACCTTCCACCTTCCCAAGCGTGATAACCATTACCAAAAAATAGCCTCTCCTAACGACATGTCCAGAGCCTGGGAGATGAAGCTGCGCCATCCTTGCCTCCAAGAACCACTCTGACCACACTGCCCAAGCCACCATCCCTGTTCGTTCTTCCGGTTGTCCCTGGGAGAGGCAGTACGCGCCTCCAACACAACAACTCAAAGGCATCACTTCTGTCACCTCAGCCATTGTCCAACAGTTAACTGGAAAGAGCTCCCGTCAGCCCTTAGTGGCTTTTTTTCTGTCTTTCAGACTAGACCTCTGCCAATTCATAAATTATAAGCCAAGCTCATGAGCTCCTGCCCAAATTTAATACTGCGGCAATTTTTTTAAGAGAGCTTCGTGGTAACTTCTGAATTTTGAGCCTATTGGTCAGACTTACTGAGAGTCTGAAAATTCCCAAGGTGTCACGAGGCGTTGAAGTCCTGGGCAGCGGCAGTAGTTGGAGGGTTGCTGTTAAAGTGTCACCTGGCCTGAACTTGTAGTGACAGAATTTCTTTAGGATCCTACCACCTGAACTGCTAGCACTGAGGTCATACGTAAAAGGAAGTTGGAATCAAGCCCCTCAAAGGAGGATAATCTTATTAACTCAAATATTCATTCATTAAACAAATAATTCACTGGAGGGAGAGGGCACACAGAGATAACGCAATCTCACACAGCTAGAGCTGCTGGGCCCCACATCTGCATTCGTTACCTGCAGTGATGTCGCTGGCGGGTCTTCCCGGCTGCTGGAGGGTCAGTCTGAGTTTTCCGTTATGAAGAAAGAGGAGGAGACCACCGGAGTCAACTGGAAGTTCCACGGAGAGCAACAGGCCCAGCGTATTCCAAGTGCGGAACTGAAAAGCGGCAGAAACCTCGTCCTCTGAGGAGGTGGCCGGCAGGGCTAAGTAGCTCTTGGTGCTCAGAAAGGTCACGGGTACTGACTGCGGTTGTGAACAAGAAAAGGACACGTTCCCCTGAGAAGAAAGGAGAGGAGACATGGAGTGACACTCCCATCACACCAGGAACAGGACGGAGCATATGCACCAAGACAGCTCATCTCCTCACATCTTCCTCACTTTCAAACAAGGACAGAAATTGCTCGGCACATGAACATGACATTGATCTTCAAGTTTTCCTAGACCCAGAGAGCTATGGTCAGGCAAATCTTGCCCCTGGAATGCTGGCTGTCATCCTCGTCTCCCATATTTTATTTTTTTTTCGAGTTTAATAAAGACTTCTAGCTCAATGTCAGGCATCTTGGTGCCACAGTGCCCTCTGTGCTGGGCTGCTAACAGAAAGGTCAGCACTTCTAATCCAGCAGCTTCTCTGTAGAGAGAGAGAGAAAAGAAAAAAAGAAGCAATTTCCTTAAGATTTATAGCCTCAGAAACACGAGGAAGGTCACAGTGAGTGGGAATGAACTTGACAGCAGTGGGTTTGTTTGTATTTGTTTTGGTTTGTTTGACTTGGATTTCTTCGGTCAATGCAATTGATTCTGATAAAACTCTATTTAAGCAAGCACTTTCTATTCTGGGTGGCTCTGGTGGCATTGTCTGTAAGGGGTTGCCCTGTTAGCCTGAAGGCTGGACTTTTCAGGGAGTTCAAATCCACCACTGGATCCAAGGGAGAAAGATGGGCTGTCTTCTCCTTTGTGATTTACAGCCTCTGATAACCTGCTCGAGGGTCAGCTATGAGTCTGTTCCAACTCAATGGCAGTAAATTGGGTTACTGTTATTCTATTTGGTTTTTACCTTTCTGCTCATGTCACCCATGCTTCCAGTTCTGTCTTCCAACTTGTTAAATTAACATCATTGCAGACATATTCCCCTCACCTAGCACACTGTATGTTATATGTAAGCATACATACACCAGATGACAGCTGCCCAGTAAGACAGAGTAGACCTCCCCAAAGGGTTCCCAGGCTGTGCCTGCATCCTCCGAAGCAGACTGCCTTCTCCTTCTCCTATCACGTAGCTGTTCAACACTTAACCCACTGTGCCACCAGAGCGCTTGCAAACAGCCGTAGTTCGCATTATTATAGATATATTAAAAACCACACAAAAATACATACATGAATGCACTTACCTACCATCGTTCAGTTCACAAAGTTAAAACATCTTACACATTTTGCTGCAGCAAGATCTTCAATAAAAGCAATAAAACTCTACACTGTTGTGAAATCATTCGGCTGAAAGCTCCACAGGATTTCTGAGGCTATAAAGGGAGCAGCCTGCTGCATTTCTTTCCCTTAGAGAGGCTGGTGGGTTCAAACTAATGAACTCTTGATTAGCAGTCCAATGACTTTTCCACTATGCCAACAGGCCATCTTCCGTCAGCAGTAAACTATGGTACGCCCTGTGAGTTACCTAGTGACCCTAGGCTGTTCTGGCTTTGGCCAGCTAAGCTATGTGCTGTATGGGAACATTCTCGTGTTTACTCCGATGTTTCCACTATAAGAGACCTTCCCTCACTGACTTGCCAGGTTTCGCCCCTACCATCCAACTCGCCAGTGTGTCCTGACATTTTTGTTTCCACGGAAGACCCTCTTAGATATAAAACTAGCGGAGTCATAGATCTTCATAAGTGCTCCCAGATCAGTTTCGAAAAGAAAATTTAAAAATTAAAATATTGTATATTTACACTGGTAAATATAGGAAGGAATCTTTTCTATTTTCACTGGCTTTAATGATAAGATTCCAAAGTGGCAACCCGTTTGTATTTTTTATAAGTTTGTAGGTCATCCAGATGTGCTTGTCCACAAAAGGTCTCTCACACTCTGCCCATTTTCCCATTTTCTTTTCTTTTTGAACATTTTGGTCTTCTTACCATTTTGTACTTAGACATTTGTATCTTAGACATTTATTACAGACCAGTTCCATCAGGAGGAAATATGTGTAAAACTGATGTCAAAGATACACTGGGATGGTGTGAATCCAGCAATTTAATAATGTGCATGAAATAGTTTGCTACTATATTCAGATGGCTATGTAACAACCACCACCACCATCACAACAATTTAAAGACTGAAATATATTTGAATTGGGAATTATTGTGAAACAATTAAACATGTTCCAAGCTTCAGAAATGAAGACAAATTTGTGGGTTTGTTTTTTGTAGGTTTGTGGTTTTGTTTTGTGGTTTGTTTTTTTTTTTTTAACTTCAAAATAATCATCAAACACTTTTCAAAATACGGATTTGAAAACTCAGTGTTCTCAGTTCTTTTTGGAAGAATAGACACTGGCATTAGAATATTCTGCCTTAGCCACACAAAAAGCTTTGACTATTGTGGGAATCTGTTAAAAAACAAGATGCTTTCACTGTAAACAAATACCTTGTCCCCTCGAAGGAAATAACAAAAGCAGAAGAGTAAACTGCGCTGACCCATAATGTAAAGGCAATTTTCGGACTATCAAATCTTGTAAAAATGGAAGCATTTTAGCAGCTGAAGCTTCGGCTCTGGCTTCAACTGGACAGCTGCCTGCTGCCCTGCCGAGTGGCACGGCCCCTTGCCATCGAAGAAGGGCTGTGAGCTGTACAAGTGGTTTCCAGAAGCTCATTTGTTAATGTAACACGTACACTCAGACTCGCGCGTGCGCACACACACACACACACACACAGAGGCACACACATTTTCATATACACACTTGACTACACGCTAACCTACATTCTTCTGGCATTCTCACACACACTCATACACGCACTTGGACACACACTCCCAGTCACACACTCACATGTACACATGCCCACACCCTCAAATATGTACTTACACACATTCTCACACCCACACAATCTGTATACTTGCGCACACACACACACACACACACACACACACACACAGGCACATTCACCCTCATTCACACACATTTTTCTACACACTCACTGCTCACCACTTTCATATAGTGTCTCTCTCTCTCTCTCTCACACACACACACAAATGCCTGCACACATTCTCATATACACACACGTGCACATAACTACCTATATCCTATTTTTCTTTGCCTTTAAATTCTTTCCCCCTTTTGTTCAACAAAACAATTTTAAAATCTTGCTGGATGGAACACACACAAAAACACTACCAATTCACACATGGGATCAGGAATCAAACACTTTGTAAACAACACATTTTCTCATACTGCGCTTTGGGATTTGTTGAAACAACAGAAGCAGGAATTTACATATTTTAAATTTAAATAATGGGAGAAGTCTACTCAAATGGTATACGTGTCTGTTTTGTTCTTGTCAGGACGGCTAGGCTGGAAATCACGTGTCCCGGAACCCCACAGTCCGATCAGGGTGGCGGGGAGCCAGAAAGGACTGGTATGACGGTCAGGGAACAGGGTGGAACTTGGGCCATAGTGTCCCCAGGGCCTCTTTGTGATCTTGGGTTGTGGAGGACATACATTGTCCCAGAAAGCCCACGTTTCCCCACCCAGGGGTGACTGGGGAGCCCCTGAGGTGGCAGCTCCCAGACAGGACAACCCCAGGTGCTCAAGAACATCCCTCACAAGCTAAAAGCTATTTTACTTACTGGCTATTTCACTTTCTTTTCTGAGTGACCTTACACCAATCAACCCTTACTTTATAAGACTCTTCTCCTTCATTTAAAATGTGTCTATCAAGGAGTTTGGTTGCTGAAAATGGGGAGAACTTGAAATTCTCGCTGTGTTTCAAGAAGATCAAAGACAACAACATGGGCTACATCTCAACATCAAGAAGACACAATTCTTCACCACTGGACCCCTATGAAACATTATGATAGATGGAGACAAGATTGACATTACCAAAAATTTCATCTTACTAGGATCCACAATCTTTGGTACCAGCAATCAGGAAATCAGGAGACATATTGTACTGGGCAAGTCTGCAGTCAGGGACCTCTCCAAATTACTGAAGAGCAATGCTGTCAGAAGACTATGAGGTGCTTTTCAGTCACTTGCTATGCATCTGAAAGCTGTACAATGAATAATGATGACAGAAGGAGGATTGATGCCTTTGAGCTGTGGTGTTAGAGAAGAGTACTAAACATCTCAGAGAATGCCAAAAGAACAAACAGGTATGTCTTGGAGAAAGAGCTGCCAGAATGCTGGCTGGAGGCAGGGATGACAAAGCTTCATCTCACACACTTTGGGCATGATGCTAGGAGAGGCTATTCCTTGGTGAGTGACATCATCCTTGAAAACGTGGAAACAGAGACGAGCCTGGATGAGATGGATTGATACTGTGACTGCAGCAATGGGCTCAAGTGTGTCAGAGCTGATGAGGACGGCAAAGAATAGAACAGGGCTCAGACCTGTTGTTCATAGGCTCACTGTAAGTCAGACTCAACTTGATGGCTCCTAACACTAAAGGAGTCTTGGTAGCACGGAATGCTTCTTCTTGTTCTGCTAATTGGAAGGTCAATGGTTCTAACCATGCCCTCACTCTTCAAGAAAGGTGACAGGCAGTCTTCTCCTGTAAAGATGAACAGCCTTAGAAATGGAATGGAAGCCCATTATGAGTTAGATGTGACTACATGGAAGTGGGTGTGTTTTTTTGGGTATGGTCTAGTTACTGATTTCACTTCCCTTTTCCTCATTTTATAATCTTCATTATGACAGTTTCCCTGAGAGAACCCTGACCAATACAGTTATATTTCAATTCTGCCACATTTCCATAAAATTAAAATATAATACAGCTTGACCAACGTTGCAGTTTGGGCAAGTTGACAGATGCAATGTGGTAACAGCTTATTAGCGTCTTCTATTTGTTATGAATGACCATGGCAGAATACAAGATTTTCAAATTCCCTCTAATATGCATGGATGTTATCTGATTCCAATAACTTGGTATGCCTATCTTGTGAGTTTGTCAGGGAATATCTTGTTAAAGAAATTACAGCCCAGAAGAAATTTGTCTCCTGAGTTTCATGATATTGCAGCAAAATTAAAACATCAATCGTAAGAAGAAAGCTGCTTTATTTCACATAAAAATTATCATGCCCTCTGAATTGCAATTTATTTAGGCAGAAATAATTCCTTCTGTGCATACTGCCAGTCAGAGAGAAATTTTAAAGGAATAAGGATAAACAATCATAACAAATGGGAATCCAAATGGAATGATCTTGTGAGTGGAGAAGCTTCCCAGACCCATTCATTTGCCCCAAAGAGACTCTTACCATGATGGTGATGTGTGGGCTGTGTTGTTTAGCCAAATCAATGATATCCACTCCGTTGTAGTAGAGATTTTCTAAACACCCATGAAAATTGTTCTGTGGGAAGGATGCTGATTTGCCAGGTGCTGGAATCCCTCCAAAGCTGATCTTAGAAAGAAAAATGGCATCAATAATATTGTTTAGTGATTATTTTTTCTGAAAATCAGCTTAAATATGTGCGATTAGCAAGGATAACAATAATCAGCACAGCTAGATCGATTTTTTTTGTCACCTTACACTGTCAGGCTGCTAATTCAAAATGGATATTTGAACAGAAAGAATAATAGCAAAGACGTGGAATTTAAAATAAATTTACATGTATTCATGTATTCACTTTTCATCATTGTTCTTAGAGGTATTCATACCTGCCTTTGATATTTACATTAGCTTAAAAAGAAAATGCACATCTTTAGACTCATGGTAAATCTTAATTTCTTTAGTAACATAACTGATTATAATAGCCTTTTCTTTTATACACATTTCTAGTGCTCATTAGTATTAGCACATTTGAGCCAACTGTTAATTATTTCACTTGTTAGTTAAATTCTCCCTATAAATCTACACTGGTCAGGCGTATCTATGGCTCTCAAAATCCTACATCTTTCATCACAATCATACTTGACTTAAGTTCTCTTCGTGAGGAATATTTTCCTAAAAGTGTCATGATGTGATTACACATCACAGATAGAAAGATGGTCGTGAGCTCCAAGAATACGTTAGTTAGCACCCTATGAAGAAGAAGAAACTTCAATAGTGTTCATGACCAAAACTGTAACTATTTTTTTTAACTAGTAGGGAACATAAATTTAATAAACAAAGAGCATCCCATGAGGGTTCTAAGAGGCAGTAGCAGAAAGACAGTTAAAGGCATGGGAGAGAAAGATGTTCTTGGAGAGGGAAGAATGGGTCCTTTCTTCATTGGGATGAGAGAGACCTAAACTTGTCATTCTTCATGAGCTTACAGAGCTCAGTGCCCACAGTTGTATCTTACAACCATCTCCCATCGGCATTCTGAGGCTGTAAATCATTCTGGGAAGAGACTTCTCATTTTTCTGCCTTGGAAGAGATGATCACGTTGAATCACCAGAGATGCCTGGCCCTTGGCTTAGCAAGCCACCTGGCTATGGACTTTGTCCCTAGATGCCCCTGGAACTCTTAACTTATACTGAAAGCAGAGTTCTCAAGAGTATATTTTCTTCGGGGAGCTTCTAGGACATAAAAATAACAACAAACAACAACAAAAACCTGTTGCAGTTTCGTTTGTGGTAACTCAGAGATATCCTACAGAAGAGAATCTAATGACCCCTGAGAGTTCCCAAGTTCATGATCTTTCAACAGGCTGGATTGGCACAGTGACTAACAATGAGCTTGAGTGTGTGGCTAAGATCGTGAGTATGGTGGTCAACATTCAGAGGAGTCGTTCAAAGGGTTACTGTGAGTCATAGTCAACTCGAAAGAACCTAACAGCAATCTTTACGGGAGCAAAATGTCAAGTGATGTCTCCCAGGGAGTTGCTCCTGAGTTTGAACTGCCAAACGTCTGCTTAGCAGGTAGGAGTTTTAACCACTATACCATCATGGTTCCTTTTGCATCAGACTTACAGTGATCTTAACTACAACAGAATGAAACACCGCCTTGCCCTGGGGCCCTGTGGTAAATATCCTACAGCACCGTAAAATCTGTATTGATTGAAATGCAATCGTCACACCTCATAATCAAGATCCAGGTAATTGAAGTCCCCCTGTGTGTGAAAACGCTGTCTGTGCTCGTCCACCGTGAAGTTGACCTGCTTGCCCAGGCGCTGGATCAGCACCGAGTGCCAGTGCTGGTCGTCCAGAAGGCTGCCCAGGGTGAGGCTGACCGGGGCGTGGGCAGAGGGAGGCTTGGCATCACCTTAGATGAGGAAAAGAGAAAATCGCCATTATTCTCAGGGTTTTTAAAAAAGCACCATGTCCCTTCCATTGAGCAGCAGAAAGACCCACTGTCCTGTTGCTACGTGCCGCAGAGGTGACCACGGCTCATCACACCCCTATGAGCAAGGCTCTCAATCCTGCTCCGTCCTGAACCAACCCCGCCGTCTGTGACACACCTGACCCCATTGCCACAGTCACTGTGTCAATCTGTACCATCCAGGGTCTTCCTCCCCTGCAGTGTTCCTCCACCCTCCCAAACACGATGCCCTTCTCCACTCTCCAAGCACTGACCCCTAGGTTTCTCTGGGGTTTCCAAAGCTGCAAATCTTTATGGAGAAGACTGTCCATCTTTCTCCCACAAAGCTGCTGGTGGATTCAAACTGATGACCTTTTGGTTAGCAACCCAACACTATCCCCCCAGGACTCTTTGTGGGACAGCACTTCTCCTGACTGCCATCTCCTTCCACATGTGTCATCTCAGAAGTCATCACATACGACTTCATCTGAGGCTTGGCGAAAGTACCCTCATCGACCTTGTTGCAATTTCTTCCACTGTTAATTCTTCTATTAGCATTATGCATGGCACGCTCATTTTCTATGTAAATTTTATCTTTGGTACAACCTCATTATTTTTACTGCCTTCATATTTTTCAATGACCCATCCCTTTCTTTATGTTATTAGAAAAGGGCTTGGGTGGCAGTTACACTGGTGCTGTGGAAAGACATTGGAGGAGGCTCTCATCCAACGTACAAACTATGAGCTGTTTTTACTTCAAAGCTAAAATACTGTTTTTAATCTTTTATCTCTCTGTCTCTCTTTCTCTTTGGCCCCCTCCAATCTAATTGGTTCTGATTCACAGTGACCCTCCAGTGGGTTTCCAAGAGGAAAGAGGAATAAGAAGAAGAAATTGCCAACATTCAACCTTTCACTTATGGAGAAGCTGGTGGATTTGAACCCTTAGAGAAGAAGCCTTTTGGTTAGTGGTGCAACACCCTACACACTACATCATCAATGCCCCATATATACATGTGTGTGTGTGTGTGTATACACACACACATAAAATATGTTGTTATCATATAATAGCATGTTATAGCATTTTAATATTGTTTTATATAGAATATTATATATAATATAGAATAAAACTATAAAACATGCAGTCTAAGAATACTGCATTTGAACAGTCAAAAATAAGCTATGAAAGTTCAGATCTATCCAAATGACATCTAACAAAAGTTTTACCTGAATTAATAAGTAAAAAAAGTCTTCCTCTTCTTAATTCCAGTGTGATGTGGTCTCCATTTTGCCCTTCTCTGTGGAGCAGAACCCCATCACTCTGCATGGTTTTGAATTTCAGTGAAATAGTATCTTTTATTGGGCTCATCGATATTTTATCAAATCTGTAGAGAAGGGAACTTTTCCCATCAAGGTCAACCACTTCTGATCCTAGAAACAAAGATATTAACGGGTCATTCCAAAAATAAGTATTTTAAATACATGGAGAATATAGCTCATACACACACACACACACACACACACACACACACACATTATAAGGTAAAGCCATATCTGTTACTGTCAAATTCACTCTGACTCAGTGACAGACGACAGAGCAAAGCTGCCCAAAAAGTCTCTAAAGGTCTATAGAAACAGACTATCTTGTTTTTCTTCCACCGAATGACTGGTGCTTTGAACAGCTCACTTTGGATGTGAGGTTCGAATCCCCCAGCTGCTCCCAGGGAGAAAGATGAGCAGTCTCCCTCTGTGCAAAGCACTGCCCCTGAAAACCTACTTGCAGGTCAGCTATGGGTGGGTTCTGCCTCAAAGCCAAGGAGAGAGTTGACTGATGCATAACGGAGTCCACACATGGGTGCACACACACACTTCAGATGCATCACATATAGCTCCAAGCACATATTTAACCGGCCTGTGTGTTTTACTACATTTTACTCAGGCTACGTAGTAACATTTAAGGCCAATGCAATTCTCTGTCTTCCAAGGGCATTGTTGGAAAGACATTGACTTAAAATTAGAAGGTCTGTTCGGCTGCCTTTGTGTCATAACTGTGACACTGATGAGTTTTTTCAGCTTTCTGACAGTGTCTTATCTACTCATTGTCAAGATCACTTTTTATTCGGTTCATCTGAAAAAAAGATGTCATGTTATACCAGCGCATCTGTCAAAATCAGTTGTGCCTTGAAGAAGAGGCACGGAAGAGAACAGATGATACTAAGATTGCTGGCTGGTGTTCACTACATTTCACAAGTCAAAGATTAAAAAAAAATAAATAAAAAAGCAGTAAGTAATTACCCTTGGAATGCATTTCTATAATAAGTGGGGAGGTTAAAGAAGCTCGGTAAGGTACGATGCGATTTTTCAAATGGCTAGCCAACTTCTTCCAGTCAACAGGATGACAATACAATTCGCTCATCTTTTTCCAATTGGCAGCATCACCCTAGATCCTTGTCCGCCCAAATATGCATTTCATTCCAACTCCTCATCACATTTCAGAGGAACCATTTCTATCCACCCCTCCCGCGAACAAAACGAATTCCATCCACTTTATGCTGCTGTTGCTTTTCTGACAACACAGAGGTTTGCTTCTCTCACATCTTGTTAGTGCGCACGTAAGGAATTTATCCACCAAGTGCGTGTGAATAAACATCACTGTCGTATGACAGTGTTAACAAAACAATTATTCCTTGTTAGATCACCGGATGAATGTGTGTGATAAAAACGTAACTCTGTGTCAAATACAAATAATGTGTCCTAGGATTATTAGATTACAATAAATTAAGGCGAATTCCAATAAGACGGCCTTGAAATGCTGACACATTTGGAGTAATGCAGTTATCTGGGAGTTAATGTATCGCTTCGAGGCAATCATCGTAGTAATGATTTTATTTTAGATAAAGTCTATTTTTGGAATTAGCTACCCAGAGAATTTTCTCCCAATAAAGGTTTAGCTTGTGTTACTTTAACTATCTTTCCCTTCTCTCTTCTTGATTGTCATTATTATTACGCATTAATGGCGATACTCATCTTCTGCAGAGCCTACAGCTTTTGTGCCTGGGATATTTCTGTCAGACAAATCGGGTCATGAAAAGCATATCAGATAATTGATGCCTCCAGCAATGATGTCCAGATTTCTTCCTTGGACTGGACTCACCTGCCACTTTCTCTTACTCTTCACTGCTGTCCACCTATATCATATGTGACCCACTATGCAATGTGATACAGTCATTTTTGTTGTTTTTTTTTAATAATATTTACTATCCAATCACTTCATCTGACATCCTTTGGACCTGCTCTTGGTCCGGAAGGGCCCTGGACATCATGTGGGTAAAGGGTAAATAAACAAAAGAGAGGAAGCTCCTTCAACAGATGCACTGACACAGAGCCTCCATTGATGAGCTCGAGCCCAGCAGAGATTGGGATAATGATGATGATGATGATGGTGGTGGTGGTGGTGGTGGTGATGATGATGGTGGTGGTGATGATGATGATGATAGTGGTGGTGGTGATGATGATGGTGGTGGTGGTGGTGATGGTGGTGGTGATGATGGTGGTGGTGGTGGTGATGATGATGATGGTGATGGTGGTGATGATGATGGTGGTGGTGATGATGATGATGATAGTGGTGGTGGTGATGATGATGGT